GACTGGTAGATAATTAGTTATTAGTGGTACTGCATTTTAATTTTAGAAAGTGCAAATCCGCTTATGAATTATTAGACTTAGTAAGACCGCTGCAGCGTAAATAAAATTTTTAGTTCCGCAATTAGTGGATTTGCACTTTAGTGAGCTGGTTCCCACCACTGCTTTCAGATGWATTGGAACAGGAGCTCCACTTCATGAACATTTATCTGACAAACCTGCAACAACTGAGTGATGCCATTATGTCATAAAACAAAACCTCTGAGGATTGTTTCCAACACGTTGTTGCATCTATGCAGAACTGATTTAAATCAGTACTGAAGGTAAAATTGGTTTCATTACGATACTGAAAAGTGGAACTAATAAAGTGGCTGGTCAATCTACATTTACTGAGAAATTGTTGACCTGTGAGAAAATACTGTGCGTGTTTTATRTTGTTTTTAGTTCTTAGAAGTTGCAGAGTATAGTTTTATTATCCTTACCTGTTCAGCGACTCTGTAAACCTCCTTCTTGTCACTGCAGTCACAGATGTAATAATGGACTCTGGTAGCTCCTCTGCTTTTGACAAGACGAGCGGTTTCCTTCATTCCCTCTTCGTTAATATCCCACAGCACAAGAACAGTACCGAGGGCCGCAAACTCCTGGGCCATGAGACGACCGATCCCACTGCCTGCCCCTGTGATCAGAACCACTTCTCCACTAATGTTCTTTTTCCTTCTTGGCACAAAGAAGTAAATCAAAGCTTCCAAATTGAACCAAAGAGACAGAASAATGACTTGCAGCGTTTCCAGAAAGAAATTCATGATGAATCTAAGACAGAAAAAAGGGAAAATTATTAATTAGAGATGACCACTTTCCTTAATGGAGACATATCATGCTTTTCATCCTTCTTTTGGAGGTTTAAATAAGGTGCTTAGGTCTGAATTCCTCCTTACTGTAACTCCACAAGCCCCACACATGGACAAAACTGTTGGTACCCCACTGTTAAAGACCAAAGAGCCCACAATGGTCACTGAAATAACTTGAAACTGACAAAAGTAATAATATAGCAAAAAAAAAAAAAAAAACCACTACAAATTAACTAATGAAAATCACACACTGCTTTTGAATTGTGGTTCAACAGAATTATTTAAAAGATCCAACAAAAGAAGCAGGTCTGAACAAAAATGACTGTACCTCTAGAAAAGATTGAAAATAACTTGACTATAGGGTCATGTTAAACTAAGACGTGTCCTCTAATTAGCAACACGTGTCTTCAAGAGTAATCCATCAGTCTGCCTCTTTAAAGGGTGATAAGTAGTGCGGTCACAACAGCTGACAAAACAGAACAAAACAACGTGACGACAGGCAGAAAACAACGGTGTTTGTTTCCTTCTGAGTGTTGGAATTRCATRGATCGTCTTTTAGTGACAATMTTGTTATTRGTCTACGGTTTAATTCCTTTTTCTTCAGAAAGCTACCATCCGTAAAGTGGCTCACACAAATAAATACATTTTTTCTTCTGTCAGAGGGTTACTTTCAAAAGTGAAGTCAAACCATTTCTTAAGAGCTGTCATCTTTAGTATCTAAAAACACATTTCCTAAAAGGCATTTTTTAAATCAGAAAAGGACTGGACTGAGAAGTATTAGGTGCTCAGCAGATGCGTTTTCACCAGTTGTTTGCTAGTTGTTGCTGCTGATAGGCTGCAGGAGTCATGGTGGAGGTGTGCTCTGTGATGAGGCTCGGCTCAGAGACACAGCCCAGAGGAGGAGCTGCACCTAAAAGGTGGTTCTAGGCCCAACCGGTGGTTTTTGCTCCCCTGTCTGGCTGCCTCAGGACACTACAGGATTTACAAGGGCTGTGTCCAAAACGACAGGCCGGGTCCTCCGGAGGATCCAGACTCCCCGATCGCGGCGGGCCAGGTCCTTGGTAGACCGGGA